GGGCCACAGACCTGGGCCCCAGCCCAGGGCTCCAGAGGAGGAACAGGAATACTCATTCACAAAAAATTAACAGATTTTATTAATGAATCCCAGTCGGATCCGTTGGGGCACTGGTCCTGGACATCTATCAATCTGAATAATCAGAAATGGGTGTTGATGTTTGTGTATGTTCCATCTGATTATTCGCAAAAGCTCCTTTTTTTAGACAATCTCCCATCTATAATCCCATCAGCAGATTACCTCGTGATTGGAGGGGATTGGAACACCATCCCCAACCCGGACATCGATTCTAATACTCCACTGTCCCATCCAGGGGAATCTGCTGCCCTCAATGACCTGATCTCAGACCTAGGTCTCCTTGACCCCTTCCATTCCTTACACCCCGACACACGCTGCTACACCTGGACCTCCTCCACCTCCTCGGATTCTAAGCCCCCCACTAAGAGGAGACTGGACTTCTTCCTTACCAACAACTCAGTCCTACAACTAATCCACAAAATAATATCAGAGTCTGACCCCCTATCTAACCATAAACCGGTATATATAGAAATGAACTCGGGCATTCAGGCTTGTAAAGGTAGGGGTCTGTTCAGGCTAAGTCTCCATGTCCTAGAAGACCGTGGCATAGTAGAATGGGTATGGAAGACGTGGGAGGAGTGGAGAAACAACACAACCATCTTCACCAAGGAGGGGGAATGGTTGGATAAAGGCCTCACCATGTTATCCAACCAGCTCAATCTCATCTCCTGGGTGAAAGCAGTCAATAGAAAATATGAAGAGATAAAAATAAAAAGGAAAATAGAAATATTGGAGAAACAAACACTGACTGCTACTTTTCAGAAATTATTAATCACAGAAAAAAGAACCGCCTACTACAGGACTGGCAGAACTTACAGATAAAAGACCACAACCTATGGKCCAAATATAGACAGGTAGACAAGATTTTATATACAGATAGACTCAACGGTAARACAACTAAGGCCATTAGTAACCCACGAAATAACTCTYTGATCACCCTCCTCACCCACCCAGACGACCCTAACAAACCTCTGGCCAAGGACGCTCACAGCCTCTGTGAATATGCTAGAATGTTCTACGAACAGCTTCTCACTTCTGAGAGAGCTCCTAACAGCCYGGTTGTCCCTCCTCACTTGGAGGAGCTCCTATGGGGTTCCACAGTGAGAATTCTCTCAGATATGGAGTCTTCATTACTTGAAAACCCCATAACCATGACCGAGCWAACAGCAGCAGTAAAGAGCATGGCCAAAGGAAAGTGCCCTGGACCGGGCGGTCTGCCAACTGAGTTCTACCTACGTTTCTGGTCGTTGTTGGCCCCTGACATCCTGAGAGTCTTTAACTCAATCCTCACTGACCAGTCCTTGGGATCCAGCACTGCAGAGGGTATCATCACCCTTCTCTATAAAAAAGGAGATAGATCAGATGTAAGGAACTACCGCCCGATATCCCTTCTAAATGTTCATGGGAAAATTTTGGCCAAAATGCTAGCAAACCGCTTAAAACCCCTACTCACCAAACTGGTCCATCCGGACCAGTCCGGATTCGTCCCAGGCAGGCAGGTACTAGACAACGTCATGACCATCTCACAATCTATCGACTAGATTAATCGGCATAACCTCAACAAGACGGTCATTCTCATAGACTTTCAGAAAGCCTACGATAGTGTGAACTGGGACTTCGTCCAAGCTACCCTGGAAAGAGTAGGAGTGGGTAAAAACCTCAGAAGATTCGTGAACGCCCTATACGGTGCATCCTCAGGGAGAGTTCTGGTTAACGGACACCCTTCCTCCTATTTCAAAATAACACGGTCGCTCCGCCAAGGATGCCCTCTAGCCCCTTCTCTCTTCATCATCCAATTAGAAGTCTTCCTGAACATGGTGCGTCACCACCCCGACTACGAGGGCTTGCAAATCTCCYCTACATACTCAATAAAAGTCTCCGCTCTTGCAGACGATTTCTCGGCCATCTATGAAAACTCTGCATCTTCCCTATCAGCGCTCGAGGAGTGCCTAACAGTCTACGAGACCGCCTCCGAAATGCGGATCAGTTGGCAAAAATCAGTGGCCCTGACACCGGACGGCTGTCCGTTAACACTAGACTTAGGAATACCCAATGAAACGGAAATCCGACTCAGAGAGATACCTAGGAATACAAATTTCTTTCGGTGATCCATGTGAAACACAAGCCTCCATTATAGAGACTAGAATCCGAGACGCTTGCGCTACCTGGTCCAAGACTCAGTTTCAATCACTTTTTGGTAGGGCTATGGTCATTAACACATCCATTTCTTCTAAAATATGGTATATACTTTCCATTCGCCTCCTACCTCCCGAATCCGCGACTAACATTAGAAGGCTCATTACGCGCCTCCTGTGGA